GAAAGTTCTCCCCGCAAAAACCCATTTGCATAACGTTTCCGTCGCCTTCCCGGGATGAAAACGAGCGGACGCCCAGAGGCTGTGTGTGCTTATACATATCTGTATCTTTTAGATATATATATAAGTAGCTAGCGAAGTGTGTGCACACCCGCATATAATAAGTGACGCGACTGTTGCTTCGATGCAATGAAACACATAATCAACGTGAAATATATCATGGGCATCTCATGGATACAACTCTTATAGTTTAATTATGGATCACTATGTATAATATACATAGATCATTATTATATTAGCTCTAAAAAGGAATACATTTTTTACTTAGACGGTCGCAGCGATAAATAAAACAGCGTGTACACCTCGTCATTGTATGTTAAGCTACATTAAGCGTAATTATGAGGATAATTATAAATCTTCTCATTTGCGTGGAATAAATTAAAATAGCGTTAATGCGGGTGGCCTGTCAGCAATAAAAGTGCGTCTTAGTTAAGGCGGTTATTTCCAGATTAAGATTTGTTCCTAATGTAAATGAAGATATGGACGAGTAAATATCTTTTAAGTGAGAACCGCTGTCTGGACGAAGGGAAGAAAGAATGGACCTGAAATACAGGGAGAAAGCGAATAAAATTTTATATCTTATATAAAAGACGAAAGGGGTTACACTGAGCACGACACAATTTGTAGCCAATATTATTTTATCGCGGTACATTTTTTAATTACTTCGCTCCGACGTGCTCAACCCTTCTTCGCCTTCAACTCTATGTAGTCCGGTGTCTTATTAAACAATGGCGGATGGCGTCCGAATACCCTGGAGAATCGTATTTTACACTTTCCACGCAGTCTTACTTTTCGCACTTTATACGACAACTTCGTTTCATTGCGAATAAATCTTCATTTACTCAATTAACTTTTATTTAGTTTACTACAGAACTCCGATGAGGATCTCTGCAATTTAGAATATATTCATGTGAGCTTCTTTCAGGATAAAAATGTACGTGTGAATTTCTTACAGTCTTTCCAAAGTTAAAAATCACAAGTAGTCTAATTGTAAAATAAAATGTTGAAAAATAGGATTAGTTGCAAAAGTAATGATAAAAAATAAGTAAAAGTAGTAAATAAACAATTACACGATTTGTTTAATACAATAATTTCACTTTTAACGTCGTTTATAATTATATTATTCCGAATGCATCAGGAATAATATTATATACATGTGTATACTTATATTATGTAAGTCTGGATTACAGAAGAAAAAGATGAAGAATGTAAAATCACATGTCATATTTTAATTTCAGGAGTCGATTTTAGTCCAACTGATAAATAATTTCCGAATATTATCTTGAAGATGATAAATCTTCGTTTTTCTAGCGTAGCTACTATTGTTAAATTTTTCAGTAGTTATATTTTTATTCCCTCATTCTAATGTTTCGTTCTTTCGCTTCATTAGCTTCCGTGAATTAGCACAGGCTAAAGAAATCAAGAAAGAGCGAAATAACGACGAAACTCAACGCGGCAGTGCGATAGAGCGAGCGCGTCGAAGCGGACCGATGAAATTCAGACGAGGGATAATTTTTTAACGTTATTACCCGTCGGGTACGCTGCGAATCGGTTTGCCACCGCCCTGTCGACGCCTTCGCCTCTGCAGCCGCCCACCCTTCGTTGATTGGCAATTTCACGTCTTGAATTTTTATTCGGCTCAGCAGCACGAAAAGGGTGGGAGTGGGGGTGAGGTGCCGCGGCGGCAACCCCTTCGTTTTTAAATTATCCGCGAGATTAATCAAGGCGTCATTTTTCACGTCCAATTTGCAATAGAAGAGGAGGCGCAGCGAAGGGATGGCGAGGGACGGCGCGAGAGAGTCACCACGCAGAAAAGCAAACCTTATTCTTAATTGATATATTCTGAATTAATTAATCCTTCCGCTGGGACGGTCCAGCAGCGGCCAGCGAGTGCGACTGGATGAAAGGGAGACGACTGGTTGGATCCCTTTTACTTAATTAGTGCCAGCCGTAAATTTCTTTCATTGGACACTTTTTTCTTCGATTATTAGCGCATATATCTTCCGGCCACCCCTTATTGGCTTGGTAACCCTTCCGTTGCGGATGGCCCACATCTGTCGACCGACATTAAGGATGCCGAAAGCAGTCGAAAACTGTACCGTAAGAAAAAATACTTATACATATATTATCACGTTAAATTTTTTTATTTAGAATTTGTCGCAAGAAGTTTTACGATATAAAATATCAGAAAATAAAAAATCTAACAGAACGATGTTAAGTGATAAAAATTTCAAAGGAAATAACTGTTAATATTTTCAAAATATTCTCCGTCCTAATTTTCATAAAAATCGAGTTGCGCAATTATTGCAAGATTATAAAAGCATGGTTCTCGGCCGTAAATGTATCGCGCGATCTTAACGCGATTACGTGCACGTAATAAAAAGAGTGACTCTCGAGGAGTCTCCCGTGGGAAACCATGCCTTTCGCGGTGTTAGGGACAAAAGCGAGCAAATGGTCGTGAAAAAAGAAAACAGCCTGGCGGTGATGCCAAGAAAGAAGACAGAACCGAATAGGAGAAAGACACGACGATTGGCCGATGAGGAGGAAGCGGGAAGCATCGGCAGGAAGCCTGCAATGTAAAAAGCTTGGCGACGAACGCAGTTGCCGCAGCTACCGAAGAAAGATCGTCTTTGTCGGCGAATCTGCTAATTAGTTTACCAGAGAGAGCTTATCGATCCTCTCTCCGTATCTCTACGTGTCCACTACCACGAAATCACGCACGATCAATGACAAGACTTGAAACATTGACGGGCTCCTGTCACCCATCACATATGGTCGAGATGTTGTTCGGTACAGACTCGGACGAACTCTCGAAATTATCCGATTCTTTCGACGAACGAGGGGAAAAAGAGCAATGACGTTTCTGGGGTTTCGTGAGAACGCAAGAATCAAACGCAAGAATCAACAGCAAGGTTGCTCCACGTCACGATACGTCTCTAATAAGTAAGTATATACTGTTTGCAGAAAGCAGAAGGTACTTTCCAAATAACGGTGAAATTCAGAAGATGGCAAGCACCGCGTTACAGAGGCTGTGCTAATTATCCCTATTGCTCTGTCTCTTTGACATATTAGTGTATAGGTGGAGGTGTCGACACGGTGGATAAACCGGAAACGGCAAATGTGCACGACACACACTGACAATACGTTGGAAACGACGATACCTTATTAGGAGCATCTATCTATTTCATGATATTTCCAAACCTTTAGACAAGGTTTTCGCTGTCTGACATTCTAAATCGTCAGTGATCCTCAATATAGTATCAATTTATCAATATTTTAGTAAAATATAAAAATATTACAAATTAGATTGTGTGCTACATTTTCCTGTCAACATTTTAAAAGAACAAATAGATAATTAAATATTGAAAGTAGAGCATGCATTTATTGTGTGCAACTGTTTATCTTCTTCCTAAATTAAGTTTATAACATTGTGTGAAAATATTATATATCGTAAATATTAATGATTGTATTAGAAACGTCAAATTTCTAAAAGTAGTCATGTAGTAAAATATCGTTGTGCATATGTGGACTTTTAAGCTAATTTAAATCAGTGTGGTTGTTGAAAGGCATAGCGAATTTAATAATTAAGCTTCACCATCGAGCTTTTGAGATAGGTCCGATGAGAACCACTCTGAATTTGGTAACGAACGGGAAGTAGCGTCGGTGCGTTGACAATGGTAATTATTGTTGATGCTGAAATTTCAATTTTGCAATTGATGCAACGTCTGGAAACCATCGGTGCGCCTGTGTGTACAAAGACGCGGGCCCGTGTAAAATCCGTACAGATGTGTATATGTTCGTATGCGTACGTGTACACACGTGACCACAGAAAGGCGAGCGGCAGACTGCGGAGACGCGAGCCAGAAACCATCATAAAGGTTCGGTTCTCCCTTTGATACGCGTACGGTAACGTATTTAGTTAGACATATCATTCGGTTTCCATCTATTGTACTCGCGGCGAACAAACTTCCTATTTGTTTGAACGTTGAAGCCCACACCCATCCGATTTACCACCCGCGTCCCACGTGGCCTGCAAGGAACGAGGCGTGCGTGCCTCCTATCAAGAAATAAGCTCGTCTCGCTATTGTAATTACCTGCAAATGGCATTTCGCGTCACGGTAGAGCTGCAAGCGGAAATTGGTCCTCTTGTTCGGATTCGCTGAAAATAATAATGGAGTCGGAACCATATCATTGCATTTTCATTATTATCCCAAATCAATTACCAATCTTTGATAACATTTCTAAAATATATCTTTTGCAAAATAAATATACAGACTTTTGTATTTCAGACTTTTGTATTTTATATCAGAGATTTGTATTTATTTGAAAAAAAATTTCGATAAGAATAATATTTAAAGAAACTATTACTTAATTTCTTATATAGTTGGAATAATTTATCTATGTTGCGCAAATAACTTGTGGCTTGTTCTTAGTTCACTAATACGTAGCTTCTAACGTTCTACATTGACTTGATATTTGAACATTGCCTTCGAAGCTTCATGAATCGATCAGTCTTTTTATTTACCTTTACTCAATTTGTAAAGATGGACACTTAAATTTATTCAATTATTGCGTAAACAATTAACGAGAGGATTTGCCCTCACCGGATGTTTAAGTGATGGTTCGTCTGGGGGATTCTCGAGATGGTTTTACTCGCGGGTTCTTAATAGCAAAGACGACCCGCCTAACGACCAGCAACGGCATACCGAGTCCTTCGGACTCGCGAGCGACATGCCTCAATAGATTCATCGAATACTATCGAAGGAATTTCGCAAACAATCCCGACCAATCGACACACGATCTTGGGAACCACTCGGCGGACCGTCTCTCAAAAGGAGCTTGGTATCGCCTACCACTCCGATACTGGTTCGCCGGTACACACAAAATCGTGCCAGCATCAGCTCTGACGATAGAAAAATAATATTTTAAATTATATCGTCTGAATATTACTTATCTAATTTATTGAAGAAGTAAAATTTGTGTAATTTCATTATATAATTTTAATGAATGATATAAGCAACTAATTAATATATGTATTGCATCAAAAATATTTGTTCAAAAAATCAAATAAGATATTAAAAAATACTTTGCACGCACACTTAATATAAAGAAAAAGCTGTTGATTTTTATTAAGTTTTAAATTCATTTTTATTTTTTTTTTACATCAGTTTTTTATATTTTTCTATCCACTCGTTTTATTTTTCACAACAGTCTAATTGTTAGTACAAACACAACCCTCGGAGAAGTTTGACCAAATCGAAGGATCGAATCCGGTATCCTTGCAAATAGTGACCGGTGTGAGAAACGCGTTAGTCGGCCTTAAATCAAGGAGGCCCTAATTTCAGCAAGAAATCGTCGCGGGGCGTTGTTCCCAGGATCAGCTGGCCGGCTGACGGCATTTCTCGGACATACCTGTCGTACCTCATCGACCGGTTTCGACCGGTAACAAGACAGACTCTTCCCTGGTGTTCCCTGGAATCTTAATATATACCTATCTACGATTTGCCGCAATTTCATGAGATGTTATGCCGCGATTGACGATTAACACTCGAATATACTGTAAGTTTGTGCAAATTGATATATCGTTACATCAGAAAGACTATATATAATATTATGTATGATATTTATTATTGTAATTGACTTAACCTTTTGCTCAATATAGCGAAATTTGTCACAATTTCACAATTTTTTAAGGCTTATACTTGGAGAGTCAAGCGGGTGACTCTCAAAGATACTGAGTAAAGAAAATCTTTTACAAATCCGAATTGTATGGCATGCGTCTTATTGTGGAAATGTTCAGCCCTTTATGCGGAATTTTAGTGACATTAAAGAAAAGTCGAGATTCAAGAGTACAGATTGAATCAATGCCATACGCTCGAGGTCGCACGCTCGACCTAGCCAAGGACGGCCAACAGTCGCCTGCATTCTACATGTTCTTGTCTTATCTGTTCGTATAATACAGATGATCCCCTCTGCTCAGGTGAGCACAACTCGGAAAGGGTGACACCGAACCGACGACATTTTTAGGATGCACGGTGATGCTCCTGACTGTCAAGCTCTGCTGGAACTCGGGATCCGCGAGCATGAGCGGAAAACTCCGTCGTAAAGTCTAGTAGGAAAAACAAGCATGCAAAATTGTACAGTTTTCAAATCTTGTAACGCTTTTTCAACGGTTCTTGATAATTCCACAACTCTTTTTATATATAACCGCGGGAAATACATTTTTTTCTTTATAATGTTAAAAACTCTGGGTATACGAGCGACATTTATTGTTCAAAATTACTATGAGTATGCTAAATTATAAGAAATAATAGTATAAAATTCTTCGTGGATCGTGTTCGTTCATCGGTGCTCCGAGAGACTTAGCTCTCTCAGGTTTTTCTCTGCGAACTAGCGCTACACTGTCACCAAGATGAGAGAATGAGGGCCATTTCACCGATTTCTCGTGGAGATATCGCAGCCTGTGAGGTATGAGCGCGGGAATCAAACCCGACCGTGCTCCTCCGTGCCGAATGTTCGCGGAATCCGTTTTCCTGGCGGATTAATCCGCTCTTCGGGCGCGATCCATTTGAGAATATCCTCGCAGCGTAAGTAGGACGCAGCTTAAACCCTTCTTTCCGTTTCCTCCATCCGGCCCATTGTCGCGGAGCTAAGCACAGATTTATTATCGCGTTCAGAACCTACCCTCTCCCCTTTCCTCGCCCCTCGCCATCGTAGCCACCCCTCACTGTCGCCTCCTCTTCCGCCAGCCTCGGGCTTTCCGAGTACTAACCGGTCTTAGTCTCGTAAGAGAAATACATTCATCGAGTATTCTATTAAGAATCTGCACTCCCGCGGATGAGCGAGCGAAATAAGGTTCTTCCACCGACTCCTGTTTCCTTTTCTCTCCCTTTCCCTTCCTCTTTCGTTCTCTCGTACCATCTACCGTCCAATTCTCTACTCTCGCTCTTCTTCCATTAGTCGAACGATTTCAATCCCTTGTCTCCTACGACGTCTTACCTCGTTTGGATCACCTGGTCGAAAAAGCCAGACTATCTCCTTTTACGACAGAGAAATCTGCGTCACGTGACGGTAAGATTTATCATGATTGCTGCAACTGCCGCAGCTATTATGGTTTTACGTTTTACATTTTCTTTGACTGCGTCGATATCGAAAATGATGTCAAGTTTTAAAATAGAATATAAAAAAATTTACAAACAACAGAAGATAATTATATCCATGCCTTTATCACATATTTGGCATCTGCGATGTTATCAGATCGTAATTAATCAATGATATTATCGGCAACGCTTGATCGAGCTGCGATCGTTATAAAGACTATGTAACAAAAAATTAATTACTCTCCACTTTTATTATCGATCACTTTGCGAGAGCCGCGCGTTTGTCATTAATCTCAGAAAATCCCAATTTGGTCGCGTCAGCATGCCAAACTCGCGTCGAACACCCGGTGCATGCTACTGGATAATGACGGGAGACGTGCAGCACGCGCTGCACGTAAACCTTCAGAAAGCGTTTTACGCAGAAGTCTCTGTCTTTCCTCGACGTCCCTCCTTTCTCCCTTTTTATTTCTTCAAGATGCAGCTGTTAGTTGCGGCTCGACTCGGACCAATAATTAGCTCATTTCAATAATTGACAGGCCGTCACCGTTCGCGCCAACCGTAACACATCTGACATTACATCGGAGCGAATTCGTCTTATGCGCACACACCGGTGCTCGGTGCCCATTCGGATCGATGACCATAGCGTTACAGACCGTACGCTGCATTATGTGCCGGCGTTTTGCCGAGTCTTTACGCGGCAATAAAATGCGTGCACACTCTTATTTCGCGTTCGAACCGACGTCGTCGACGAGCAACTTATACCGTCCATTGTTTCCTCCACGTGCGCATATCTATGAAGTAGTTGGTCTCCATCGCGCAGAAGTGCATTTGTAACATCTTCTCGCGTCCTCTTGAATACCGTTTTCACGTAACGACCGCGAGCGCGAGCCGCGTACGCTATCGTTTGCAATTATAGCAGTTTACGCGAGCATGAAAGGCGCGGCAGTAAAATTCCCTTCGAATTGCCAGCGAGGTAGGAGAGGTAGGAAGAGGTGATGAAGGAAGCGGAGGAGGGTAGCCGAAGGCGAAGACGACGACGCGGAGGAAAGAAATCGCGTACGATGCTCTCGAGAGAACGGCACGGCTTGTCTCGCCTAGCGCCTTCTTTTTGCTCGTGTTTTTCTCTCTTCCGCGGCCGGCCAGGCAAATTGCACCAGCCGCGTGCAGAGAGATGTCTGAAATTGAATATTACCCACGCCGAACGACTTCGCGCACTGAAGAGGTACGATAGTGACAACGAAGAGCAGTCAAAAGCTCTTTTATGTGCACCTGATGACTATGGTAGATGATAGCCGCCTCTCTAGACACGCGACGAGTAATTGGTTGACGATTCTAATCTATTCCGCGCTGAATACATCAAGAAAAATGCGTCGAGACGCAAGAAAATGGAATATGTAGATAACACGAAATAGAAAATAATTGTAATACTGAACTCTATCTTAACATATCTAAAGCTATCTTTTGAGCAATGTTTTAATTATGTAATGAAGATATTTTTTCGTAAATGATAATGTCTTGTTCCTTTTATTATAATTTAATATAATTACAAAATTGATATAAATTCCTATTATTATTGATATAAAAATTTTTTATTTTTTATTATATCTGTATATCTTACTCTATGAAGCAATTAATATGTAATTAACCTTAAAGCTTTTGCAAATTTTTATCTATTAAAAAAGTTAAAAAAAAACTCTTCAATGCGCGTTTTATATTTCGCGTTGCATCGCCGACTTTACTTAATCGGTTTCGACTTTACATTTTCGTCGCTCATTCGTTTGTTACTCCGCAATTACCGTCGTCGATACCATCTTCAATATTATAAACCGTTCTAATTGTCTCGTCGGCTTCGCGACTTCGTGCAACGTAAACGATCGCAATCGTCAAAACGATCGTTCTTCCGTCGTCTCACGCGAAGTCTTCGATCCACGACATCCATAACTCCCTTTCGCCGTTTCATCCCCCCGCGCGGATCAGTCCCCTGCTAGTCGAGCGGGGTGAGGGCGGCTAGCACGAAACGGCCTTATGGAAGCCTCTTAATCGCACCCCCGTCCGAGTTTCAAAGTTTACGGGTTAAAGACCGGCTGCGTTATTAATGCACGGATTCCGTGATAGCGGCGTCCGGTCAATATATCTCGCGTTTCCGAGCGATTCTTCCGAGCAGTACAGCTATACCATTCCTTCCCCTTCTTCAGCCCCCATCTTCCGCAACTCTATAGTCTTCGATCGATCAGTCTGTACACGTCTTCCTGAGCGTCGTTTTGTTCCACAACAAAATGAGAACGTACACAAAGAATACCGAACGTGTACAATCGTCACCGTATTAGGGAGTTGCAGTAACGTGGATCCAGGTACGGTAAACGATAAAGTCATGTTATCCTTTTCTTAATTAATTGTTAAGAAGAAGATTACCTGACTTTAGCGTTCACCGTATCTAGATCCACGTTATTGCAAAAACTCCCTATTATCGATTATGTCCTGTCACAAAAATATAATCGATGTTATTCTATAATTCGGAGATGTAAGATTGATAAAATAACGTCTTGGAAAAATCAGTACTGCATCTATCAGAGAATGAAGGATATCTACAGTAAATGTATGTAATAATAATATGCTCAGGGTATGCATTCGTATTCTTCGAATCACGAGTAAGATGTGCGGCTTCGCTCGCCCGCTTTCCCTCTTATTTCAGTTATTTTATAAAATTATTCCCGCAATTTATTCGCGCGCATTGAAATTAGTCTGTCGGATCTCGAGAGTATTCTGGCAGGCTGCCGCCTCGCATTATATTCTTTGCATAATAATTATGACGATAATGAGGGTTTACGATAGAAGCGCGGCTACCGGCATGTTCCATACGCTCTCTCGCTGGTACTTTCCGCACTCCAATTTGGGATTGGCGAATGTGTTACCTTGTCGAGCTTCGCGGGAATTTCCCACGTCCGTAACTTTTTCTCTCAGGTACATCAATTCCGCAAAAACCAACTAGGTATTGTTACCTTATTATATATACATTTGCGAACTTCTGCCGCGGTGGTATAGTCCTTCGTTGAAAATGATTTCCATCGCGTTTAAACATTTTTGTAACAATGAGCGAATACGTTCTTACGTTATGCTCTCGTTAATAAAGTTATTAATGCGATGCGCAATGGTATCACTTTGTGCAAAATATGGTTGGTTTAAAATGGTAAGATGGCTTTAGATGCCCATCCTCGCGTTTTAATTGCAGAAATATACGTATACTCGTACAAACTCGGACGCATTCACGCATATTTCTCATTTCTACAGTATAGCTATATAGCAGCTTTTCATAACAGCGTTATTCCTACACACAACCAAATATAGATTTATATTAATATTTAAATATGATTTAGTACATTGCTATCAAATAACATTGTCAATTTTATGTACTGTTATTCTGTTGCGGAATTTACTTATTTTTTATACGCAAAAACTTTAATAATAAATCTACACCGTCGTGTCGGTTCAAATTATTACGGCTTTTTGATCATCTACGAGCTCCCGCGGAAATAGAACGAGGGCCCGATCCACGAATCTTCGGTACCAAGTTTGGCGAGAGAAGGGGCCGCACGCTTCGGAGGACGTCGTTAAACTTCTTGAAATTGGAATGCAAACAAACCCATTATCGTAAAGTCAAAGGGGAAGACAGCAGTTTATTTAAAAGCTGCGGTGCATGCATAGTGCACCCCCTGCCTTCCCTGAAGTGTTCCACGTGCCGTCGAATGAGTAGACCGTCGATGCCCGCTGCACGAAAAGTATGAAAAGTAATTAAATCCATGTCTGATATCAGCAAACATTGCACTAGCGTAGAAGGAATTCAAGTATTCCGATTGAGAAAAGAAACATGAGCGTGTTGCGACAACTCTCGTAAATCCTGGTTAATAACCGCAATCAGAGATAAATGCTGATATCATTAATAATCTTACATAAAATTTGTTCGGTGCTTTAAATGACGCTCCGAGTAATTTATTATGAATATAAAATAAGGATTTAGAAATTGAATGTTTTTAATGGGTACTAAGAAGCTTTTTATTGCTATCTTATTTCTCTCTCTCTCTCTCTCTGTTTCTCTCGTTTTTTTAATTTATGAAATATAGTTCGTATTTGTTTTAGACCGTTAAATCGCTGTCTACTCCACGGGTTAGTGTCTCGCTGCTTAAGGTACCTACAAGTTTAATTTGACTTTTAACATGCTGACAAAACAAGGGAGATATAACTTCCGCTGTGTTGCGAGAAACATCAGTGTTTGTCGGCTGACATACTGCTATCAACACTTCGCTGTCGTGCGGCTATTCGTGACAGAAAGCTGATATCGTGCACCGGCTTTCAGTGCGCGGCATAAATAACTCCGAACGATTCTTAAAGGGTTCATTTACGAATGGGTCCATTATTAAAAGAGTTATATCCGCGGCGATGAGTCTTTAAGAAAAGATATACAGGATTATGAGCAATATACGCGAATGTGTAGGTGTGCAGCAATTACGACATTAAACTGGTTGCGCCAGTTAAAGACTCTCTATTGGATAGTATAAGTTGCGAAATCCTATTTCGGATAGAAAGTGGAAGCGTCTTCGTTCTTACCTGTGGGAAAATGATTCGTTGCATATTCTATTATCCTTAATAGCGACGTTCTCGATCTACGCCCATTGTGAATTCTACTTGGCCGCATGTGCTTGCGTCAGAATTACGGGCTTCTCAGTGTAATTTCGTAGAAAGGTGCATCGATCCATGAGGAGTACATGATTTATGTTGCGAAACTAGTGTAGATATCCCATGTCATAAAGTAATTAAAATAATAATAATAATATAATAATATAATAATATAATATATATATCGTATATAAATGCTCGAATTGAAAATAACCGTTGAAATTGTAACACGAAAATTATACATTAGGTCACATTATTGAATGGGTATGCAAGAGAAATTAATTTATCAAATCACGAAAAGTACAACATATTCAATTTATTCCCCATCACGCCTAACACGCGTGGAGCCACACGATATCTCTCTCAGAGAATTGGTCTGATCTGTATCGCTTTTCTGATATGGGTGAGCATCAAGGAAGCAATCTTCCACCCCACGCGATCCGCTAACGAATCAGGAGTGGCAATAGCGTAGTGGAATATCTCCATCTGCGTTTCGATTCGCACCGACAATCGGGTATCTAAGTAGGTTAATAAACGAGCCTCGTCGATGCTGTTGGATTCCCATAGAACCAATCGGCCGCGGATCACGCAACACCTAACGCGCCACGCAATGAATCACACGCATCTATAAATCTTCCCAGGATTATCCAAAACTGAGTCAGAGACATGAGTTTAAGGAACTGCTGTTTCAGAATTTGTGAAGATTAAAAAACTATCCTTCTAAATAATTTTTAATTTTATTTAATAAATTATTTAAGTAATATTTATATCAAGATAATCATATGTACCAAAATTTTTAGAAATATGAGATGACAAATTCATGCTTTCTCTCTCTCTCTCTCTCTCTCTCTCTCTCTTTCTCTCTCTCTCTTTCTCTTTCTCATCGATTTATTAAGCAGTAATGAATAATTTTTTTCAAGGCCATTCGAGTTCTGAAGAACCATTGTTATCAAGAGAAATGTTACCGAGAAATCAACGGTAATTTCCGGTAACTTTGATGAAAACGCATGGCGGAAGATAGCATCTCCCATGGTCAAGAGACTAACCGAATTCTCTAAATCCAGAACGAAGAGCATGCTGCTCGATTCCCACGAAATAATAGAAAATAAATATCTGCCCGATGATTACTCTTCGTGCTATTGCGGACGTCTTCGTGACACCCCTCCTTGCCGCTTCGCGGTTCGATGCACCTGGGAAAAAACCGCATATACGTATAAGTGAGACGGAGAATCCGAAGAATAATACATCTCTCTCTTTCTCTCTCTTTCTCTCTCAAAATGTTCCACACGCGCGATTCGATTTGCAATGATTTCCATGTTAATGGAATATTAGAAATATCCCATCGACACTTCTTGCTCTGTACATGGTATTTTTTTACTATTATATATTTTTTTATATTCTCTCTCTCTCTCTCTATTAGAAACGGCAATTTTTAATAGAATTTTTGGCATCGCTAGATCAATAATGAAACACAATTATAAATTCTTACTTAATAAACTTTCAGAATTTATTTTAATCACGTATATCTGATTTTCTTCATAATGTAAAAATTCTTAAATGAAATTAAGAAATTAATGTAGTTTTGTTCCTCTATAAATAATATCACTCTTTTGTTATTTTACTAATGTACGTATTGCTGTGACATATGAGTGTATTCTTATGTGGTGTGAAATGACATATTGAAATATTAGAACCGTAACAGACCGGCGAATATCTGGACGAGTCATCGCTCATCGGCGTAGTTTCTTTCGGATAGGCGCGGATGACGCAGTCGAAAAGAGAATCGGCCAGCTGTAGAAGAAAAATTATCACCTACAGGTTTTCGCAGGGGCTGCGCAGAGGGGCAGGTGCGGCAATTAAAAGGCTCACCGCCGTCATTTGTTTCCGCGGTGATCTCGACGGCGTATCTTGCGCGAGCTGCTTTTATAGTCATAGTTTCCTGAACAGGGGTGAACGAAGTTCCACTGTCTCTCTTCTTCTGCTTGAAGAAAGTGGAGCTAACCGAAGGTGAAGCACACAGGCCACGATGCCATTATTGTTCATGCCCGGACGCGCGTTGCGCGCGTTATAATGTATAATTCAGACGACTAAAAAACAACTCGCGCCTTATATTTCGTTGAATAACGATCTGATAGTATTCATGATATCGATAATATCGTTTCTTATAAATCTCGTGGGAGTTATATATTTTCCTCTCCGATAACTCGCACTTTGCTGAAAGAATGAATCGTTATTAAGATAATTATCAAGGAAATTCCCTGACATGGTCCATTATTCTTATGTAGACATAATAGTGGGAACTGATATTGTAAGTATATTTGGTTGTGGCAAAGGGCAAGGTGTGAATTAGGTAATATGTGATTAAATATATTAATGAGGTAAATATAATTAATAAATATTTCAACACCACGCACACACAAATGCTATACTCATTATCGCGAGAAAAGTAACAGGCACTTAATTAACCTTTGAGCTTCGAAATTTTTCGTAAATATAATTTAGTAGATTCCTTAGCTATTATTCACTAAATCTACGAATATTTTCCCGTATTAATTTTTAGCAGTCGCTGCTCTTTAAGATTAAATATAATCCATTGTGTGTGGTACAAAGAGGAAACGAAAAAAGGCATAAAGAACAATAACTGGCCGCGTCATAGATTGTTACGTATGTGCCAAACCAAGATGAACGAGCTGAATGTTACGTAGGCGGTGTCGAGGATCGAGAAGGTAACAGGTGGTCGTGCAGGAAACATAGGCTATATAAGAGCAGATACTGGCAAGTGGTTAGCATAACAATTGCAGCAGCTACTGTGTTATACGAGAATTCGAATGATTTATGTACGGACATGCATTTCGTGTTCGCATGCATCTCGAACGTTATACGTCGAAAAAAACGTAAAGGTTTTCGATGGTTCTCGTCGATTGTCAGGATATTAAAAAAAGTTATATGTAAATATTATATTATCCATATAAACTTCAAAACAATGGTGCCCTTTAAAGAGATAGAGAAATTCAATCTGTTATGAGCTTATCTAATCGTTTAACGATCGAGTAATCAAATTAAGACATTATTAGAAGGAATTACACAAGCCTGCAAAATTGGAGGTGGTTGAAAGTTGATTGAGATTTAATAATGTTTTCTTACGTAATTTTTTGTGCTGAATCTGAATCCGGCTGCACAATTGCTCTATCACGTCAAGATTTTGAGATATCCTAATCTAAAACTGCTAAAAAAGCCGTTTTCAACCATATTTTAAATTAAATTAAAAATTAAGAAAATTTTTGTTGTCAAATCCATCAACGGTATCATTTACTACTATACGGCCCCTTCAAAATCCATTTTGAACAATCTCAAGCGATTTTTTCTTTCGGAGATATACTTATTCAAAGTTCTATAAATTGTACCTCATAGGAACCTAATCTGTATACCGTTGTATTAGAACAAACTATATTTCTAGACAGATTAGCTGACTCTTCTATCTTTTGTCACAGAATATTTTTAAATCTGCGAGAATTGTTATACTTTCACTGTTCATGTCTTACTAGTATTTTATGTTGCTGTCTCTAGTGGTACAACAACACTTAGATTCGGATTTGACAACAAAAATTTTCTTAATTTTTAATTTAATTTAAAATATGGCTTTTTTGGCAGTTTTAGATTAGGATATCTCGAAATCTTGACGTGATAGAGCAATTCTGCAGCCGGATTCGGATTTAGCGCAAAAAATTACATAAGAAAATATTGTTAAATCCCAATCAACAAAATCATGCAGGCCTGTGTTATTAATTATTTATACTATTTATCATAAGCGAAATATTTGACAATTTCGAAATTACAATTTTTCATTTCACTATTTTTATAATTTTGAAAAAGCTACATTAAATAATACAAAATCTTGCATGAAATATTTTTTAAAGCTGACTTTTCTCAGGTTCGCTGTCTGGTTTTACGTTTCTTTCAATATCAACACACTTCGAGCGTGAAAGTAAATACAAAAGCTCTTTTTTTTTGTTGTTTCTTCCGACCACATGATTGTTGAAATGTTGAATGGGGGCGGCAAGTATTTCACTGCCTAGGGGACGATAAAAACCATAATCCGACCCTAAACATATTTATGCCAGAGATATACATATCGCTGCGGATCGATATTTATGTATCGATACTTCAAACACTAGTTCAGTCTATATATGTGTATTCAGTGGACAACAATTGTTAAATGAGCGCTCAGCAATTGTTACCTATTGTTGGAGTAGATTTTTAGATCCATGATAATTTAGAAGAAATATAGATACCAATAGCAGCGAGCATTCACACAACTGTGTGTCCATTGAACACGCCTAATATTTATGTTTTAGCAGAACGACATGTTGACCTACAGATCCTCAAGGTAGAGATCATATAACGCCGACCACTCTGTGATTGGCTTTGTCATATTGTTGTGAAAGCGAATGTTGAGAGAGAGAGAAAAAAAAGAGAAAATGTTGATCTGCGCATGTGTAAGTTGTACCTAGAGATCCTCAAGGAAGATCCTCAAACAAATTTACTGCACATGCGTCCGTTTTCACAACGTGCAGAGTCAGGTCGGCGTTGTCTAATCTCTACTTTTTGAGATAGAGACCCTCTAATCAGAGTCTGGCCACTCTCTCCCCGGTTTGTGATTAGTTTGATATTTTTCATCCATTCCATTTAAATGCATAATGAAAAATAAATTATGCTTTTACCTTAAATACATGATGCATAGCATGGACTTGCTGTCGTAATATTTATGATTAGACACTACTAAATTTTTACGTTTTTTAAATTTTAATCGTCAGCTAGTCGCTTGAATGTGTCAGAATGTTCGTTAAAAATTATGAAGCTTATAGAGCGTCTGTATAGAGCTGCAACATACAGCGCCAAGTGAGATAGCACGATTTTTCTCTCTCGCACAATTTCGATGAAAAATGGCGGCCATTTCTGATGGCCAGACTCTGATTACAGGACCTCTACCTTGAAGTTCTCTATGTCGACCTCCACCGAACATTTCTGTACGGCATAGCTGGTATCAAGGTGTAATGAGACGAGGTGAAACATTGCGCATAATGGCAATAACATACTGGAAATAATCAAATTTGAGTCCAAATACACTTTTCTGTGTATAATAGCAGTAGCATACTGGAATAGCCAATCAAATTTGGATCCAAACTTACTCTCCTACTGTGCATCCGCAATACGTTTCACTTTGTATTTTTACACCATGGCTAATATAATGTGCTGGTAAAACACGTGTGAACTATTATCACTTGATGCTATAAATGCTTCGAGGCATTTTTTGATTGATCAATTAGTAAAATTCTTTCTTCCGATTGGCCAATGCTTCGAAGCATCTGTAGCGCTAAATGAACCGCACCTTTAGTAACATATTACAAGGTTGCCAGATTGAGCGATTTGTCGCCATTCAGATGTCATCTTAACGGACAAATTTTAACTAATGATGATTTTAATTATAAGTTTGCAATATTCAAATTTTATGTGCGTAACGGACTAATATAATATACAGGGTGTTTCCAAATTAAATGGCAAAACTTCGGGAGCGTGTAGAGGAGTAAAAAACTAAGAAAAAAAGTCCTATAGACATATGCTCCTTTTTGCTTTGTTTCGCAGGAAATCACGAAAAAAGAAAAAAATATATTTAATTTATTATTTTAATTATTTTATTTATAAACTTTTTAATGAAGATTTTGTTCGAAATGTGCACCTCTTGCAGCAATACAAGCATTGCATCTGTCAAACACGGCTCTTGTAGCAGCCAGGCACTGTTCTTGCGATATTCTGTTCGCTGCAGCTACGATACGATTTCTCAAATGTTGCTCTGAT